CTTCACGACCGGGTGCAGGTGTATGGTGACAGTGGCCGCTCGCCCGAGGCCTCCGGCCCCGGCCCCGCCCTAGGGGCTCACCCCCTTCCCCCCGCCCTCCCTTCCCTTCCGAAGAGGCCCTCCTCCGCCCCGGCGCCATGCCCTCGACGCCCAACAGCCATGGCGGCGTCCTGTACTACGTCGTCGCCGTGCCGAGGGAGAGCAAGCCGGAGGAGGCGAAGAACGGCCCGCTGTCGGGCTCCACCACGCCGGGCACGCCCGCCGCGCCCAGGTCAGTGCGGAGCGGAGCAGGGCGGAGCGCCGGGAGGGTAGGCAACCGGCGGCGGGTGGCGCGCGCGCCTGTGCGGCAGCAGGCCTACCCGCCCAGGGGCTCCCTGGCACCATGCTGGCACGCTCCCTCTCAACGAACACAGTGGACATGCAGACGGACCGACCTTGCCGAAAGTGCAGGTGGAGAGTGCGGAGTCTCGTCTCCGCGGGGAAAAACATGAAATACACAACTGTGAAATATTTGAAGGGATAATTTTACAGTATCCATGTTGCAGCTCCTTTTATACTTTATTTCAAATAAAATGATTTAACACTAAAGTCACTGGCAAAGTAATTGAAATTGAAATAGTCGATTCTTGGTCTTTTCTTTCTGTTTTATAGTTTTTTGTTGCTGTAACGTGTAAGAGGGGTTTAATCCTTTTCCGGGGGCGTCTCCTCCCGCTGGTCGTGTCTGACATTTGCGCCGAGAAGCCGCGCGTCAAAGAGCGTTAAATGTCACGTCAAGTGAGAAGTGGAACGGTGGAAACGGAGGGGGGGGGGTGCGGGGCTGGGCTTGTGCGCTCATCAGAATAAAATACCGAGCCTTATCTTTTCTTTTTTTGTGAACTCCTACTTACTTTGCTTCGTGAGATGTTATACTGACTGTGTGTATATCTCCACTTGTTGCAGCACCGACAGCGGCTGGGACAACCCGTTCCGGCCGGACGGCGATCTGAGCCGGGAGGCGGACGAGATCGTGGAGCTCATCAAGGGCGGCAAGCCCATCACCCCCACGCCGCTGGGGCCCGCGCCGCCGGGCAGCCCCGCGCGCGAGGCGGCCCTGCAGGCCCAGCACTCGGTGAGGCCCTGGCGCCGGCCGCACCGGCAGACCGCATGCTGAACATGCACACGAGCAAACAGCAAAAGGGCAAAAGAATACAAAACAAAAAACAATAACACTCAAGTTTTACAAATTTATTGAAGTTTTTCGTTATTTACTCTTTTGGAGAAATGCGTATAGTTGGCAGCTTCTTGCACGTGAGTTATTGTTTTTCTTTGGTCTTTTGCTGCTGCTGCTGTCTTTAAGATTTGGTAGAGGGCTAATGCTAGGCGCCCACCTTGTGGCCACTGGCGGTTTTCTTTGTGGCGAAGTGCGAGTAAGCCCGCGCATTGGCCCTCGTGCAAGACACCCTGATAGGAACGCAAGAAATAGGATCGGTGTCTGAGCACGTCTTGTTTCGTTTGAAAGCACTCTTAGTTCGGGATGGTTGCATGGTATCGCATGCCGGTGACGGTCATGTGATCAACGATGAGTTTCTTGCGTTGCCTTGGGAATCTTTTCTTTTCTTAGTTTTACGTGGTGGTAGTTGTATTTTTAATGGTAAACGTGATTGTAAGAAAGTCAAAGAGTGAGATCGTTCTTGCTGTTTGATTCTTGTATTGTTTGCTGGTTTCGGTTTCTCATTCTTGAAAGCACTTTGCAATTTTGTCTGTTACGTTTGGTGTAGAATGGTAATTGTTACTCGACTTCATTGGTTCACCCCACTGAAGGTCTTGACTTGTTCACTTATTGATTAATTCGTAGAATAGCTTCCACTTAAAAATATTACTTATTCCTAATTTGAGAAGAGGCAAATGTTAATGGTAACATTAAAATAATCAATATTACTTTTCACTCAACCTCCACCCGGCAAGGTTGGTAGTGATAATTCAATGTCGAAATGATGACGTTTTGTCGTCGATTTTAACTTCCCCTCATAATTTCGATTGTGTTCTGGTTATTTCGCACCGGGTGTCTGAGATCCCAGTGAGAAAAATAAGTCAATACGTCCCTATTTGGAAGGAACATATTTTGACTTAAAAGATCAAAATGACACCAATTTGATGGCATTTTGTGTAAGGCATCCTCCTTTTATGGATACATATAACGTTAATTAATATTCATCCCCTATTCAAGGTGCCCCTATTCAAGCATTTTGCATTAAGATTATGATTAGAGCGTTCACTGTAGATGAAGTTTTCGCAGTCTTTGTGTAACTTGCCTCGCATTTGAGGAAGCACTTCATCTAATTATTACATGTATTCTACTGGGAACTGTTTCCTTAAATCTCTAAACACGCGAGACTACACGTGCGAGATTTATTGGATGTTTAGTTCTGAAGGTTTAGTAAGGATAATTATTTCATTACTGCCTCCAGTCTAAATGGCGGTTGTAGGTTGTTTCATTACTTTATTATGCATTATGCTGCTTTATATTCTTAAGTACTGTATTGTTGACGTAGAGGTGGTTCTCTTGTATTGGTAAACTATGTTGTTTAAAGTGGCTTTAGTTTGACTTTTATTTATAATTGGCTTAGTGTGTTCTAGACTTTGCATGGCTCCTGTAATTTCGCGCTCAATATCCCTTTGGCCCGAATCTAAATAGGTACTCGTAAACAAGAAATACCTATGCCGATGTATTCCTTGACCATCAACGATGGAGTGCAAAATCTCCGCTATTCCTTCCTATGTGACTTTTGCAGAATAAAGCATAGGTCTTGTTGTAAGTGTCTCCTTTATATTTTACTCTTCTGTTCTTCAAGAGAGGGGGCGTGGGCGTGGGGCAATATCTTTTGCATTACTCTCGTGGCACTGCAATATTCATTCGAGCTGGGATTGCGCTTGCCCGCGCTGACGCCCCAGCGCAGCTACTCTGTATATAGCCTCTCTAACAAATGTGCGAAACCTGAATGCCCAAGTCTCTTCAGGTGGATGACGTCACTTGCTATGATGTGATTCGGCCCGCACTAACAGAACAGATAAAAGGCTGCAAGACGGTAGGCCCCTAACAGAGGTAAGACAGCCTTCTTCGGTAACCAATAGCAAGTAGCATAATAGCGCATTGCTGCAGATGACCAAAACCTTTTTGTGTACTTAATGAATAAAATCAAAAAATACCAAAATTACTAATGATTCAGCTCGCGTAAGAGCAACGTTTTCTGCTTTTAAGGGGTGCTGAACCTCAAAATTGCATTTTTTGGACCTTTTTGGTGAATTTTTTAGGAGAAAACGGTGAGGGATAGCAACATTTGGCTAGCAGCACCAAATACCTTCTAGTTAGGAGGCATTCTCTATTTTTTTCCATGAATGTACTAGTCAAGCTAGTTGAGATGGGTAGCGGTTATAACATTTGATGCAAAAGGTATAAATTTCTTGCGCGCATCATTTTATGGACACCTTGGCACCTACAGCCTCAGTACTTTGAGGGAAGGAAGGTACTATAGGTACCTAAAACTTGTCACAGGGGTTTCTTGATAAAAATATTTTGAACAAAGATATAGCAAAGATAAGAATTTTACTTAAAAAAATGAAGTTTTACAAGATTCAAAAATTCATAGATCAAAATCTAAAGTGAAAATGAACAAACCCCTGTGACAATCTTTGCATAATACCATAAAGAATAACTCCTATAAATTGTTTGATAATACGTCAAAGCACTTCTGAGAAATCATGCGCGCAAGACTGAAAAACAAAATATGGAGAAAAACGGCTTTAAAGTTTGGCAACATTTATTCGGCATAAAATCACTGTTCTGATTTAAAATAATCAACTAAAATCAACTAAAATGCACCAGGAGCATACATGACACCTTCCTCTGCTAACTGCTTTTCACTTGTGTCTTTATTCTTCTGTCTCTTCGCTTTTCTAGCCTCTTTGGTGGTCTCTAGAACTCTCTTCTGAGCTACTGTTTTTCTGAGGGTATCCTTTTCATTGCAGTAGGAGACACAAAACTGACCTGGTGTAATCCCCAACTTCTCAAACACTTTCAGGCGTCCCTTTTGTCCACTGTTGAACACTATAACTGCATCATGAACACCAATTTCCAGGGTTTTCCGGCCACAGAAAACAGTTTTAGGAACATTTTTCCAGATCAGGTTGTTGAGGCTTTCATTCGGATTTTGGGTATAGCCCCCTACACACTTCTGCAACAATTCTTCTTTGCTCAGGTCTTTGAACACTGGCTTGATAGCAGTAAGGACAGCACCTGGAAGAGCTGCTTTGTGCTTGAATTTAGGAAGGGTGCCTTTGCTTTTAGCTTTATTGTAGTTGCACCATGAGTTTTCCCCTTTGGGACAAAGGTGGTGTGTGGGTTTCTTATCAGTAGAGCTGTAACAAAATAAGTATATTACTAATCTTTCTTATAATTTAGGGTTAGAATAATTACAAGATATTTTTTTCTTACTTGTAATGATGCCATATGGCCCATATTTTGTTTTTCATAGTTTTAACATCACTACTTGATCTGATTGCCATTCCATAAAAGCTGGAGAGCTTGTCTATCCACTGATCAGTGAGGCGTCCCCTGCCACCAATAGATTTTCCATCAGCTAATTTCTTTCCAGAGTAACTCTTCTTCAAAGTCCTGAGACGGGTCCCCATGCGTTTCTGAACATGGCCGACACATTCAGCCTGCAAAAAGCAAGAGAAACAATTAGTTTTACCTACTTACTTTTGGTGTCTTAAATTTTAACATGCAGCATGCATACTTTTTCAGGAATTAATTCGTCACCATAAGGTTTAGCTTTTACTAGTGCAGGATAAGTTTTACTGTCTCCATCACCAATGTAAGTCTTAAATTTAACTCCTCCTCGTTGAAGCGAACGTTCAAAGATCCTTACCACGCCTATGGCTTCCATGGCACCACTTGATCCTGTGTGGTTGATAGTGCAGTTGGGTTTGTGGGACTCAAGCCAATCAGTATATTCAACCCCTTCCTTTGGTCCTTTATAATTTGTACAGCCACTGCAGACAGTTGTCAGCACTTCAACATCTAAAACCTTCCCTGTACGAGCACCAACCAGGGTTACAACACCATTCTTTGAACTGTAACCTTTGCGTTGCCATGTTCCATCACCACTACCTTTTATTTCATTAGACCCTTCAAGATTGCTTTCCTCTTCTATAGATTTCACCATATTCTCTTCTGCTTCTTCTTTCAGTACAGCATGCAATTCTTTCAAACTTTTATAATATGACTTAGCAGAAACAGGGGGAGGCAAGTCCATCAATCCACAGAATGTTTTGGTGCCAGTATTTTTAAAACCAAGTACATGCGATGCAAGAATAAGTCTTTTGTTCAGTTCCGATGTCCTGTCCTCACTATCTTTGATGACAGCACAATTTCGAAGCACTTTCAGAACACCACACTTTTCACAACATATTTCAAAAAGAGAGCTAAGCCCCACACGTTTTACTTCAGATATTTTGATAGGGTTGTTGCATTTGTTGCAGCACACAAATTCTGCTATCTGTCCAAACACTTTGTCTATGTCAATAATTCGGAAACCACTCCAGTCTTTTCTTGTAGGGTCAACAGAGGCATTCTCTTCTGTAAGCTTCTTGGAACTTGAACTAACTGGTACACTGCTAACCTTCACAGGTTCATTTACCTGAAACAAAAATAATGGGATTAGAAGGTGGGCACCATAACCATGTTGCTGCGAGGGTTAGGATTATTACTATCGTCCCACTTACTTGAGCCACTCTATTAGCGAGAAGATGTCTGTTTGGCGGTGGCTTCTTCGCTTTGGGCCTTTTCCCCGACCTTCTCTTGACTCCTGTCATTATCTTCGTCGTTAAAATATTTGTTCCATGAAATTATCTTCCACCAGAGTTCAACAATGAAGTTTAAAGGCGCGAAAAGCGAATGTGCCTGTGACGTCACAGTGCATTCGAGTCGGCTCGAATCGCTTGCAAGGCGCAGGCCGCGTTTCCCCCACTCCACCCCATCACGAGACCTTCTCTGATTGGCTCTGAGCTCTCCAATCACAGAAGGCGTCTACCGCGCGCGGAATTCAAACCACAGAAGGCTGGAAGCGATTCACACCGTCCAAAACGGCACTTTAGGCGACTTTTCGAAAAAAGTGAAAATTGTCATTATGCAGACCTTTACAAAATCGCTCACCAAATCCGCAATTTTGCGAATTTCTTCAAAAACGAAGTAGCCCCGAACTAAGGAAGGTCCAAAGGTCCAAAAAATGCAAAAAACCGAAAATCGATTTTTTTGAGGTTCAGCACCCCTTAACGCATGACTGCTGACGAACTCTATGCTGCTTTTTAGCCAGGATTGCTTCGGTTTTTTTCTTCTTCTCATCAAGCTTACTGGACTGGAATGCCTCATAATAGCTGCTCGCTTGGCTTTGTACTTTGAGAAGCACGTTGCATGATTATAGTATAGAAAACCTTTTACACAATTAAACATTTGTAGAAAGCAAACCTCTGCTGCCGTTGAATAAGATGGAAGACTGGAGACACATATGGCACAAGTTCAGCATCGGCGGCCGCTTTAACACAACCCCTTTTCCTCCGGCGCTTCAAATCACTGACCTCGTCTTATTCCTCTTCTTTTCCAGTCGCCCGTGACGAGCACGCCGCACAAGAACGGCGCCAACGGCAGCGCCAACAAGGACGCCGCCAAGCCCTCTTCGCCCGGCAACGTGGACGTGACCAGAGGGACGGTGTCGGGGGGCGAGTCCGCGCAGGTGGAGCACGTCACCCTCAAGAAGAAGCCCAAGTGCAAGTGCTGCATCGTCCAGTAGCCGAGCACGCCGAACCAGCCAGCCGCCGCCCCGCTTCGCCACCAAATCGAACCCTATTTTTGCTACGCGAATACGAGAAGTTTATTTGTGCTGTCGGTAGACGCGTGAGTGAGTGTGCGTGCGTGTGTGAGTGTGTGCGTGCGTGCGTGTGAAACGGTGGTGAGGCGCGGACCACTTTTGTTTTAAGACTGCGTCGTCGGCGGCCTCTTGAGAAGGGGCGAAAGGGCACAAACGCCGTCACGCCCGAAATGATAAAAAGTTAGGATAAAAGCCCCAAATGTTTCTTTTTTGTTTTTTACAAAAAACAAAAGAGAAAGAATGGGCCGGGTGATTTTGTGACGGCATATGTGACGAGGTGTGAGTGTGAGCGACGACGCGACGGCACGGCGACGGACCGGCCAGGACCGGCCAGGCCGCTTGTCAACGGAGGCCCCACCCTGTGATAACGTGATACACCCCTTTACTGCTTTGTTTTTAACTTATTTATTGTAATTATTATAATTATTATTTTCTTCATACGAGGCGTAGTTGTAATATAAAATACACGTTTTGTACGCAATAATAATTTGTTTTTGGTCAGTGCTTGCCGGACAGGCTTGTTGACTGTGATTGCCGACCCTACGGGAACCTCGCAAAGGGTTGCCCTCGAGCGTAGGGTAGCGTGGCGCCGAGGCGGGTATGTTAGGCGTGGCCGTTGACAGGGGGTTGAACGTGGGCCTTGTCGGCAAAGCGATTTGGAAAGAGAGAGTGCGAGAAAAAAATGTGAGCACATGTGTGTGTGTGTGTGCGTGTGAAAGAGAGACAGAGAGGAACAGCGGGTACGTGAAGTGTATTTACGGAATGAAGTTATTTTTACACAATATTCGACTTAAGTTTTAAAATTTTGACGAGTGCAGATGTTTTACGTTGTTCCGCGGCGTGTCTCTCAGTACGTGAGCTAGAGAAACAGAGAATGTGAGGTGAGTCTTTTTTTTACAAATGTGGGAGCCCCCTAAGCTAGACAATGTCTTTGTTAGACGCCGTTACCTCGTGTACTTCCTATTCTGCTGTAGACTGACTCATTTTTGTTTTTATCATTATGTACCAATCTCTTCATGCTAATCTTCCACCTTCGGAAATGCCTAAATGTCCGCCTTAGGCGATGTGAACCTCGATAGGGTGTAAATTTGATAGGTCTTGTCTTGTTTTGGTGTTTTGTCTTATCAAAACACCGCTTTGTTATATATGCCGATATTTTAGGACCAGTTTTCGAGACAAAGCCATACTTAATCTCTTAAATTTTTATACCTATCCCTACCCTCACGCAAAATTGCGTCTCAAAATCGAACACGCTTTTGCTTGGTTGTTTAACCTGCTTCATGTCGTTGCAGGAATGCCAAGTTCAATTGTCCACATGAGCCAAAACGTATTATAATACTGTTAAAATTTTCTTGTTTAAAAATGTCTTCATAAAATTCAAACTTGATAGCCTGGTTCTTGTTTGCCATAAGGAGTGAAACGGTACAATAGGTTGGCAGAAGCCTGCCTGCCTGCTTTTCCGCAGTTATAATTTAAGCAGTGTCAGTCGCTTTCTTTCAAACTGCTTCACATTTTAATCAAATGTTGTAATAGTTTTCTCCCATCTTTCTCTCCAAAAGGGTTAAACTTTTGAGCTGAAGCAAAACCAGGCATGTGTTAGTTCAACATTAAACGATTAGAAAAGCCCGCGTATCTAAGCATCGTGCCAGCAGGTCGTCATACCCTGTTCCGTGTAAATTATGCCTTGCGTTCACTGAGCGTTTTCCTGTACTTGTACAAGTAAGGCTTTGGCTGCAGAGTCCCGTGTACAGAATTCAATTTTCGTAGCGCAACCCACTGTCATGTGTTCTTATGACTTTCAGTATGTTGCAGTACAGCTTCCGCATTTTATTTTCTTTGGGGAATCTGCGTCCAGGAGCGCGTACTCTTGCTGGCATGTAGCTTAGAGAGAGATACAGAGAGTAAGGTGTGGATGAGGTGAACAGTGGAGAGTAAGAGAGAAAAGGGAGGGAGGGACACGTGTGACTAAAAAAGTGAAAGAATAGATTATTTATTTTTCATACTGCGTTGTATTGCTTACAATCGAGGGGAAAATGAATTCCAATCTCTTTATTAAATTACAACCCTAGTGCAAAAATGATATTATTACTATTACTGTATCAATAAATGATAAAACGAATCATTGTACAGCAGCATATTGTACTTTTAGGTCTCTTTGTCCACAATACAATGGTGCATTAATTTTTCAAGTGTAAATAGAAATGGTGTACTTGTACAGCAAACCAGCCTTTGTCTGTTTTTCCCGGCAAACCTTCTTCCCCTACATAACGTAACCATGAGATCACAACACAACTCGATCAGCCTTGCACACTGCTACAACACAAAGTTCAAGGTGTGCCGTACCCAAGCACCCCTGTAACAAGGCTGAAGGTGCTCTCGGGGTGTTCGGGTAAGTAATAGTAAGCAAAGGCGTGCAGTAGCGACAGGCAACGCGGCTTATGACTTGTTTTTATATTTGAGACAGACAGTTCCGTGCGACACCCACGTTTTGCAAACTAGCAAAACGGCTAACGAGGTATTTTAATTCACAGGATTAATGAACGTTGCTGTATTCCTAAGCTCGCACAGTTTTATTTGAAGCGTCATCATGCTCTTATAAAAAATAAATTAACTTTGAAATATACCTTGTGTTAAACAGCTTCTATTCAGACACCATCGGCTTCAGCCCTCGCAGGGTGTTCCTCGGCGTCGGAGAATTGCCCCACGACTTTAACCGTGCCGCTTGCCTTGTGACGGCGCAAAGCAGAGCTGAGATGAGACCCTACCCAATAGACTTTGCCGCACACCGCGCAGATGTAGAACATTTCAATCTTCTTGAGGACTTCTTGTGGAACCTTTTCAATCTGCAGAACGAGGAGAGATCAGACAACACACGCTCTACATCCAGTTGATCCCTGTCTCTAGCTAGAGATTAGACTTCTCAAGATTTCCGGAAAGATATAAAGTTGAATTTGCTGATTCGGGGTAATATTTGAGAAACGGTGAAAGTTAGAACTTTCTTTTTGTGATTTTTAAAAACTAGGACCGCAAGAAGTAGGAAAAAAGATCAACGAACCTGAAGTCATTTTGACCTCATTTTGACATCAAGTAAAGCTTGAAATAACGTCGAAATAACGTCAAATGTGACGTCGAAATGCTTCCCATGAAGTCAGGCGACATTCCTATGTGACTTATTTCTATTCCTTGGGGACCCCACATGAGCACGTGGACGTTACGTTCCCCGAGGCAATACGGGAAAAGGTTTGGGGCGCGCAACGTTTCGTTGCTCGTGCCTCTACGCACTCAGGACCGAGATCAGGGTTGGCCGTCGGCTCCACACAGCTGTAGAGCGGGCTGGTCTGCGGATCGTCAAGAAAGTACATCAGTTTTCTTCGAGATTCATTCGGTAAATGACGGGAGGTCAGCGCCTGCGAGACTCGGGGTAGGCCGCCCCGCAGTACACGCATGCACTGCAAGCAAGATGTTGCCTACCCACCAGGCGCTACAACAGCCTGTAGGAAGCTGTAGGGGCTGTGCTGTGGCTGTTCCGCAACGGCGCGAGTGACGGGGGTACTTTCTGGACGACCCCTTTCCCAGTGCACTCTAATTGCTTGAAAAATTGTAATCTCTAACTGAGTTGCTGGCGACTATAATATGAAGCGAGCAGCTACGCCACGCACCTGTATCTTTGCCCCGAGCAGCGTCCTGCCCTGAGCAATGCTGCTGGAGTTGTCGCTCAGCACCCAGCCCCTCTTCACCTCCGCGGGGGCGGGTGCAGCCTCCGCCGCTCCCTCCTCGGAGCCCGCGCTCTCCTCGGCGTCCATCCCGGCGAGCTCCATCAGCAGGCCCCGCCCGGCACGGTCAAACGCGTTGCTGTTGCATTCCTGCGTGAGACACAACGCCAGCCATGTTAGCATCTATATTCGAGTATGCGAATCTTTAGGAAAGTCGATACTGGACCATGTCTACACGGGATATGCCCCGGAAACGCAAGTGTGTGAATTACGCTTTCCGGTAAGTGAACGCCATTCATACACAAGTCACACTTCCATTCCCTGAAGTCTACAAATAGGCATTCACGTAGCTACAAGAGTGCGATATTCACATAATACTTGCATTTTCAGAGTGGGAATCATTCGGGGGCACCTCACACATGACGTCATACAAACGTCGCAGAGGTCTCTAGTCAGAATTTGGGTTTTAAAATTTGTATCATCTGCTTTCACGATACGTCCCACGTCATAGCTTTTTCCCTAACAGAGGGCAAACCGGGGCAAACAAACCTTGCAGCGCGAGAAGACATCCGACTCCTGCACGTTGATGCCAAAGTACTCCAGGACTTCTTTGAGCTGGTCGCGGGCAGCCGAGCACGCCACCTCGTAGACGTCCTCGGGGCCGAGTTCACTGCAGAACTGTGGAGTGGCAGAATAAAGGTGTAAGACCCCTTAAGCAAAACGGGCTGCCTTCGCCTACCAGAACAGGCAGGTTCTACTGTTCGTTTACTGTGAAAGAACTACGCGATAGGGAAGGGGGTGTAGCGACCGGTAGCGACTGCCAGCCTGATCTTTCTGAAATGTGCACTGAAAAATTTAAAGGCATTTAAAATTCGCAGCTTTGAAAATTTCAGCATGCACAAAGGTGATTTTTGTTACGTGACTACTGTATTAAATCCTCCATACACCCCCGCCAGCGCCAGCACAGATCAAGCGGTGTTGCTTGACAGAAAATTTTGATGAAGTTATAAAGATTGTACACTTATCTATTTTTGGTTATTAGAGGGGAGTAATTTTTGTACGGCATTTGGTATAAAGTCATAGTTGTAAAGTAAATTGTTTGCGAGGCCGTGGTAAACTACTACTTGCGTAACCTTTCCCCTGATGGTATGATCAAGAAGCCTGCAGCCAGCGAGCCAGACGAATTGTGGCGAGCAAGTGCTTGAGCTCGAAGCCACAAGTGGTATGCCACTCCTGCCAGCCGGATTCAAGGAAACAACATTTAACATTGCAAGCAAAGCTTGTCCATATTGTGGCCGCGTGGAACCCAACGACCTAACTTGTTAAACGTCCTACCTTTGTTTGTCCAATGATAGTTTTTTAAAAGACTTCTACCACGAATCTGGGTCAAGAAAAAAAGGGCACTTCACCCCTCCTACTAGAATGATGTGATCTGTGTACAGCTCCTAATGTGTGTGTACCCTTAGTAATCTAGCTCACCCAGTCCACGTTGCTGCCCTTAGAGAGGACGATCCTCCGCTGCTCTGCTATCTGCCTGAAGACAGCTTCCACCTCGGCGTTCGGATACGACTTCAAGCTCTTGTCCAGTATCATGCAGTCCACGCCGCACTTCCGCAGCTCCCGTCCGAGGCCACAGAGCATCACGTCGGCGAGGAACTTGAAGCTGGAAACCTGACCCACGTCCTCATCATGTGCCTCTTCCTTGTGATGCGGCAGCGAAAGGTTCCAATATGAGACACAGACAAAAGAACACGATAAAACACTAGATGTTCATGTTACTTGGAATTTTATTCTGTGTATGAAAAATACTATACACTTGTTTAAAACTATAAAAAATAACAAGCAATCCTAACTTTCAGTCATACCACACTGCTAAGCGATTTGTTATTGCTAGATGCTGGCACATTTATTTATTTTTTAAAAATCATCCTCAAGATTCAAATTTAAAAAAATAAAAATAAAAACCATTAAAATAAATTCCTTTTGAGTTTGTTTCAAAATCTCCCAATCAATACTGTTAACGCTTCTACTAAAACTATACTTCACACTTCATAGCACACATACAAATTCGACAATGTGTGGACAGTATTGGTATTGAATTCATTGCTGATCAAAGTAAAAACTCTATACATAATGTATTACTGGCATGAGGAATTCCAGATCAAATTCATTTACAGAAAACAAATCACATGCAAGATGGTGATAGAATATGTAAGACCCTGCTCCTTAAGATTGTAACATTGTACAATTATTTCATTTTAAATATACAAACTAACTTAATGACTTTGTAAAATAATGTTACTAGATGAAATGAGATAAACTCCTGCTATGTCATTAACTCTAGGAAGCAGATTTGTTTAACATTAGTGGTAAAATTACAAAAAAGTTAACAAAGTAAAAAGTAAACCTTTGATCAATTAAATTTGGAACAGGATTCCAATTGCAACAAACTGCTCATTAAAAGTAATATTTAAAATTACAATTCAACACAATCAAGAAAGTATACCATTGGCACTCATCAAAATTTCAAATCAATTACCTCTCACAGTACAGCTCTAGATAAATCAGCAAGCTTCACAGTGACAATGAGATCACAAATATTTGCATGAAATCACCATAAATTTGAACATTTCATTGTTGGCCAAGTTATAATCAATGCGTACTTAGCCTATCACAGAACATGAAGAAGAACAGGATTGACTAAAATATATATCAAAATGATATCAGACTTTGAAAAATTAGAAATAGATTGTACTACAGTTTTGTTTAAGAAAGTGAGTTAATGTCATTTGTCATAAAAATTATTCCCTTACTCTTTACTCTGTTAATGCACCTCATGCATTTGAAAATGTTTTTACGCCTGGTATTTTATGAGGGCTTGATTTATTGATATAGATCATTCATATATCACTGGCATCTCAAAAAATGTAAATCATTGGGTATTAAAATTTGTTGTTCTCAGAAACTCAAGTTTAGATCCCATCATTATATATGTTAAATAAATCTAATTAGAGGTAAAATCAAAACATTCTACAGATGTTTAGCAAAGACCAGCTGCTCATACAGACTTCAATTCATCACAAAGTATAATGTAGCTACCATATCCCTGTTTCCAAATCATTTACATCATCATTTCATAAGCCAATTTGCAGAATAAAAAATGAATAAAGTTAATGTAACTGTTTGTAGTTAGAATATTAACAACAACCATCTTTCTGATTTTCTAATAAAAGCCCTTGATTAAAGTCATAGCAGATCTTAAAACATCTTAAAATAAAACTTAGTAATAATAACCCCTCACCTGGCCGTGACTGGGCCCTTGGCCAGGGTTTGATGAGCCACCTCTTGGGTACCTGCCTCTTCCTCTTCCCCTACCCCGTCCCCTTCGATGGCCAGAGGGACCACCAACACTCTTCTTTGGAGAGCGGAAGCCCAAGATTAGTTCATCAACTATTTCCAAAAAAGGAAGGCCTTGAGCCTCAGCATATTTCTGCATATCCCTATGCAATTCTAGTAGACAGAATGCATCCAGAGCTGTTAAATTAAAACAGAGCAAAATGTTGGTCAGGTTTTCTAAAAGCTTTGATTATTTGATGACACAAAGTACAAGTGTACATAATTATCACCTGCATAACGTATTTGTCCCTGTCTTAGAGGACGCTGCTCCCAGTTTGAAAATTGATCAGACTTATTCAATGCTTGTCCAAAACATAGGTTAACAAGTCTGGACAGACTTTCACCACCTGCATTCGCATCCCTACCTGTACAGGAAATAAATGAAAAGCACTTTATAACATCTGACAAGGATAAGTAAAAAATTGTTGTGATAACAGTAGTTTGGAAGTTGGTCGCACCGGAGAAAGGAAATGTCATTCCTTTATTTTGAAGGCGTCGCCACACTTGTGAGAGATCCAAATAACCTGAACCATTTAATTTCATATTTGCAAGTGGAGCAATTGCAGCCTTGATCATTACCATGTCTCCTCCAAGACCAAAACCTATCAGGAAAAAAAAATTGGGGTAGTCAAATAAAATTTAAATTTAGCTAAGCAGATAATTTTATGATCAGACCAAATCTTACCAAGTTTCAATACTTCAGGGTTTTCAAAAAATAGACGGGATGACTCATGCCAAGCATCTTCAGGTATCCCTGCCATACCAATAACATCTAGAATAAATATGCGGTCCCATGTTGCAATTTGAATGAGAGCCAATTCATTTTGCTTTCCACCAAAAGCCGGTTTCCATTCTGAATCAATGCCAACAACTTTGCAATCATGACTGTTAATGTACATCATACATTCTCTTAGTAATTCCTCAGAATCAACCATCTGTATAGCTGAATCTGGCAGCAACAAACTATGAAATGAATCACTAGAATTATTCTCGCTATGTTGTGCATTTACGTCCTGAGGTCGTGGAAACTCAGGCCTGGAAATTACAAAAAAATTATTGCAATTTAATTATAAAATGATAGTAGATAAAGATCATGTAAGTAGAAGAGAACAAGTCCATACTTTGCATTAGGGTTTTCTTTAACATAATCCACAAGGTACTGTGGCCAATCGTGATGAGACACAGAAAATTCATTAGCCCAATAAAAAGCCTCCCCTGGCTCATTATAGGCTGATAGAGATAATACTAGTTCTAATTGAAGAGATTTATTATCTTTCACTGCATCATATATCATTTCTTTCCACGAATCTAAGCCTGAAAAAAATAAAGGAGTTACATAAGATAATTGCATGTGAGAAATTGTAAAACATTATTATAGAAGTAGATACAACCCAGTCTCCAGTAAATAAACTTACTCAAAGTTCTTTCACTAAATCTTTTATGAAACAGGAAATTCAATGTACCAGCACTACGCTTTTGATTCAAGTTTGGTGTCAAATCATACGATAAATTGTATGTCTTGACTAGCTTGGCAATTAATTTTCCCAAAGGCTTATGATGCATAAATCTATCCAACTTGACATCTGGTACTTCTAATTGCCTGCAAACAGATAGACACATAAACTTAGGAAGAGAAGGTCTGCGTTTGCTGAAGAGAAATCGCGGAGGTATAAAAAAACATACCGGACAAGATGATCAACATTTTGACGAAGATTTCTGTCAGCTAATAGCTCATCTAAACGGTGCACAAGATCTTCTTGCATCGCCGGCTCCTTCATCAGTGCCTCCTCAGCTACTGACAACTTATCTTGTAGTATAAGTGGCAGGACAAAATAATCAATTGGAAACTCCCTTACAAGACCGAGAGCTACTGAACACTGACATGCCTGCAACAGGGAGAAGAATCAAATGTGTAGCAAACAAAGAGTGGAAGAGAGACGAGTTGAAATACCATGACAAACCAACCCACCTCCTTATATTTTTTAGCCAGGACAAAATCTTTAATGTTGCCCACAAATAACATTTTGTCTGCTGGCATTTTCAACACATCAATAATTAGCTTTGTTAATGCATAATTCTTTTGCATCGTTATGAGGCAAAAGGCATCATATTTGAGCTGGGGAGTTAATTTGTGACATATTTCCCTTTCATGGGCTCTAGCCCAACCACAGAACTCTTCAATCACTGCAATCAAAATATTAAACACATAGACAAAAGTGAAGTTTATATATACATGATATAAGGGACTAGAACAATTTTTTGAACTCACCAAACGATGCAAGCGTATTGGTTCTGTTATGTAACAGATCTTCACAATCAGCAATAATTTGCAAAGCTGATGCATATGGGTTGTCACATGTTTCCAAGAATGTCAGTAACTGTTGTCTAACATGCTCACTTTTCTTAACTGAAATTAAACGAGCACAAACATTATGTGTGATATGTCTAAATTGAAGGCGCAAAACCAGTTCCTGACCAAAATACTTACGCAAAGAGTACTTTTTCTTTAGAGTGGGCAGAATATCTGGGGGAATATTAGTAAAATATAAAGTTGTTGTCATTCTCTCAGGAAGTCCTGCTGCATAGTTCCTTCCTTGAGGAGGTCTTTGGTAGCCATTGCTTCGGCTAGGGTTTGACATATCTGTAACTGAAATGAAGGGCAAACATTAGAAACAACACAACTGCAAGAAAACAATGACTACAAGCTACTAGAGATAGAAAACCACAGAAATCAGTCACGAGATGATACCAGAGTTAGAAATTGATGGAAATTGTACGCGATTGTACAAAAGCAAATCGGATAGATCGCAAACGAGTTATAAAAGTAATAAATTAAAGCAACAACAATGAAACGTAACCTATTTCGATGCGACAAACACGCAAACGTAACCCGACGTAAGTCGACGTAAGCCGCAATGAGAAATAAATATCTGCCGGCGCAGAACGGAAGGGTGTAAGGTACCACTCGTTACCGCTGATATGCTGTTTGCAAAGAGAGTGATTGTTTACGCTGTGAGTAGCAAAAACCACACCAAAGAGTTTAAAGTTCCACAGGTGACTGAGTTGCGGCCATTTTTTTCATCAGCCACGAAACAGACCTAACCTATCAAACATAACCTGTTTTCGTTGAATTGTGTTAAACGCGTCACATAAGTATAAATTTGAAACCTTTCTTTAGTGCCTTGAAGTAGAATGTGTTCCCAAACCGCAAAATTTTATTTACAACGACAGACCGACGAGGATTTAGACTCTCTAAACGCCACCTACCTCTAGGAATGTCGGGATCTGCTAGCAATGTAAACTTGGTCGTCTGGTCTCGGCGGCGGAACACACACACACGCGCGCACACACACAAACACACACACGCACACACGGGTTTTTCGCTGCATTTGAACATTAGCGCCACACAAACCTCTGTTACCAACTGTACAACGTTCGAGAAATGAACGAACACTCACATCCCACATGAACTATTGGTTCTTAAAGATTATTCAATATATAAAAATGTAAACTGGAATAACAAGAAGAAGAAGAAACGGGTGAAGGAGTATGATCAAATTGATGGAGTTTTTAACTTGTTAAAATGAAAAACATGCTTATTCGCAGTCAGCACCCAAGTTGTTTTCGAGCTCGAGCTGTCAGCCGCTGAATGGCCAGACGACGGACTTTGTTTTGACACGTATTTTCCCCTTGAAAATCGCGTCAAAATGAATAAATTCTCAATTTCATTGTTTGGGCTACTGTGTGCATTGGTGAGTGACGTGGTTTTCCAAATACCTTATTGGCCTCGTATGTTTGTTGATAGCAAGGTTATGTTGTCTTTTTACTTCATGCACTATTAGTGTTAATGTCACATTTCTGCATTTCTGGCAATATTGTCAGTGTTATACATTGACCTTTTTTTGTAATGTTGAATGTTAAATTTTAAAATTGTTAAATTTTAAAATATGTATTTTTATATTGTCTTGTGTTCATTCATCTAATTATGTACCGTATGATCTTTCAGGTATATTCCTCTGCTGAATTTACCGCTGAAGATTGCTGGTCATTAGGGCTTAACAAAGCTAATTTGTTGTGTTCATCTTGTGACCAGCTTGGTAAATATGGACTTAATGATTTAAAGTGAGTATCCTTGTGATTGGTAGAGGTAGTAGCAATATTGTAACAATGGTTATCCTTTTAAAACCACATTCCGATTTTTCTTAGGGACCATTGCAAACAGTGTTGCCATAAGGATGAAAATGCTGATGCTGTTAAGCGATATCCAAAAGCACGTTTGGAAGTTTGCACCTGCAAATTTGGAGCATACCCTCAAATTCAAGGTTTGCTACCAACCATCAACTTTCAGCTGTGATACAGTTACCTTTCATGAATGTTTTATTTATTTTTATATTTGCTTCAGCTTTTGTAAAAAGTGATAAACCTGATAAGTTTCCCAATTTAAATATCCGATATGTGAGAGGTCTGGACCCCGTCATCAAACTGCTTGATGAAGATGGCAATATTCAAGAGGTACTTGCAAATTATCTTTTTATTGGTTTGAGAGTAGTCCAACTGTGTTGTAATTTAATTTTCTGGTTTTGACAGGTGCTAGCAATTGAGAAGTGGGACACAGATACTGTTGAAGAATTCCTTCGAACCCACTTGATACCTCCAGAAGAACTTGAGAAAAATGATAAAACTGATTACTTGAAAACCAATATGGTTTAAATCTGTGATTCCAAACTAGTATGTACTGTGATTCTTTGGTGAGAAACTTATACTTAAGTAATTTTAAATGTTTACATTAAAGAAATTAATACATTTAAACATTTGTCTTTCACAAATCCGTAGAGATTACGCCAATATTCACAAGTTTGCAAATGCAACATATTGGTAGGGGCAACTGACGGGTATTAATGTTTTTGTAAAACCACGATGCTGATTGAATTAGTTCCTGTGAAGCTGAAGACACCTTGTTATTTTTGTTGAGTAATCTGGTTGGCCGAATGCGAACAGAAGCCAGCTTTAAGCTAGTTTCAACCAATCAGGTAATCCGAAACAAGTGATGGGATGGTTTCAGTTTTACTGACATTAAGTTAATGAGTTTGATTGAATGTTCTTGATTGTTCAACACATTTATAGCTAAGAAGTGTTTTCTGTTCTATTTACTTTCCCATACTGATAGCATGTGACTTCATGTCAGATTTGCAGGCCAATGGCAGTGTGACAGAGATGAACTCTGACACAATTGAATTAAAGTGACTGACCTACAATGCACTAGAAGGGTTTCTCAGGAGGACACCACCTCGCCGCCACTGTCAAGGCAGCACAAAAGGTACTTGGTAAAATCAGACAAGGATATTTGAAGCCAAATCAATATGTTTATTAAGTAATGCTATATAAAATTCATTTGAAAATTTGTGAAAATCGGAATGACATGAACAGTACAAAATAAAAAAATACAGGTAATAGGTATTGATGCAGTACTAAATAAATATATTGAACTGACAAAGAGGACTTATTCGTAGACCCAGGAAGTGGCGGCAGGCTTCCAGTCAACAACTTCCTTAGGCTGGAACCAAAGGCTAATTTCCTTCTTGGCAGCTTCCACTGAGTCAGAGCCGTGGATGATGTTGCTGGAAATTGTAGGAAACAATGAGTTTGACATCTGAAATGTTCTAAAGCAGGATATTGGTGGATGTTTTACTTACCGGCCAACTTGGATGCACAGGTCACCACGGATGGTGCCAGGGGCAGAGTCCTTGGGATCGGTGGCTCCAAGAATTTGACGACCAGTCTTGACAACGTTCAAACCCTCCCAGACCTAGTGAGAAGGTTATTAGATTGGTGATGTGCAAGGATAATGCGACTTCCAGGTACTCCAAAACAGATGAGAAAAACTTACCATGGGGACGACAGGTCCAGAGGACATGTACTTGACAAGACCAGGGAAGAAGGGACGGGCAGAGAGGTCAGCATAGTGCTGCTTCAGGAGATCCTCAGTAGGCTGCAACAAGACACAGACATGACGACGCCGTACCAAAGAGGCGATCCGACCTTGAACTCGTCATGAAGATAATCCCCTCCCACCAATCCTGCTGGCAACCCCGGAAGAATGACAGAACCCCGACAGCTCTGCACAGAGACCTCGCAGGGGAAGATATGGCGGGCGGGGTGCTGTCGACCCCCATAGACACGATCGCAATCGCTCGAAAGCGCGTCACCGCGGGAGGTAATAGGACCTATAGAATGAATGGGCACAGGCACAGCAGCACCCAGCCATAACCTGCCCGAGCAGCGGCGGCAGCAGCAGACGCCCCATGGGCCGCGACGCTTCCAGTGATCAAATTCAATGAAAATTGAAGGGAACAGCGAACAAGCGTCAGAAAAGACCTTGACCACGAACCGTGTCGCAAAGCACAGGTACAGGGACAGCCGCCACACCATGATACTCACCCAGACGAACTTGAGGCCGACGAGCTTGAAACCCTTGGACTCGAACCTCTTGATGATCTTGCCGACAAGCCCGCGCTGGACGCCGTCGGGCTTGATCATGATGAAGGTACGCTCGGTGACATCGCCCATGGTTGCGGTGTGGTTGTTCAAGTTGTTGAAAGGACGGAGCGATGCGTTCACCACGAGAGCGTTGGCAGGAAAGGTGCTTGTACGGCGGAAGTCACTCGAGCCGGGCCAGTGGAATTAATAGGAAGGAAGAAGAAGAAGTGGAGGGGAAGAACAAAAGAGCGCTCTGAGCCAGAGTCACCAACGGCATTCTTTTTCAGTGGAGAAGGTGAAAACTGAATTGATTTGCTATTTTGGGGGCATGTGTCTAGGATAAACAGAGTACGTCACAATATAAATTGAATAATTTACCTGATTGTGATACTTCATGATATGATATGAGTTACAGTATTACTTTAATTTTCAGAGTTGGCTAAATTGCTAAGAACCGGTCAGTGCTAAGCGCGGGATCCTTTGCGTTTTTTAATCTAGTCAGTCAGTACCACAACTCAAGCACTGCGGCTCTAGTTGTGTTGAGGGTGCCAATTCCTGAAAGATGATGTAATTAGTTCTATGCTCATCGCTCGATAAAGACCACGAGTTGTTCATAGGTATGTATTCTTCCGTTACTCTAGGTCAGTGGGGTTACGTGTGCATTGTCAGATATAATACAAACCTGAAAGCAGCAGCGTTTTTTTACCCAGTTTGCAATGATCAATCAAAATGACGTAAATTCGACGTAAATTCGTCAAAGTTTAATTAAATTTGGGGCCACATTTTCATCAAATTGGCGTATTCTTTGTCAAATTGATGGTGTTTTGATTGATCATTGCAGACAGGGATTACCACAGAGTCGAACCATGGAAGTGTTCGTGAGTTCTGACCATAAACACTTTTCAAATGCTTTGGGAGAAACTTGCGGTGGCGTTACTGATCAAAATCCATTTTGTAAAACCTGGTATGTAGAAACGTTTTGTTCTGATTCATGTGCTATGCTAGTGATTATTAGGGCTTGGTGTTGGCGTCAGGTTGACAAGGTAAAACAAGGAGAGAAACATTGTCAATCCACAAGTTTTATTTGTTATTGAGGGCTTTGAAGCAATTCTGACAACACTGAACTGAAAACAGAGCAGAAGTTTTACTACTACCGTCAGCAAGAGCAAATATTTAAACCAGAAAAGGTTGAAGTCCTTCTTACAATAATACAGAAGTACAGCCTCCTTTCACTAGTATTGATTTGTAGTTCAAGTGCAGTACACTAGTTGATCTGGTAGTGTGCTCGCACAAGTTAACTACTATAAGCTGATTTTTTTTATCACTTAGAAAATTCATCCATTGCATTGCTGTTACAAATATTTCAGCCCTTACAACGGTAAAAATTACAGGTAATTTTATTTGAATAAATAGAAAACACAAAAGAGACCAGAGTTTCATAACAAATCCTGCATATGAATGGGTCACAAGAACTAATACCAATGAAGAAATTCTAGTCCAATATGAAGTAATAATAAGTATAATATCAAAGCTGGATACCATGAACATAAAACAGAACAATCAAACAAAAGTTTTCTAATTTTCTAATCAGATTGTAGATAATACATTTAAAAAGGCACAACATGATGTTTGATTATCTTTAACACAATAAATTAAAAGAAATGTGATGTCTACATACGCAGCACTTGTTATGCAACACCACACCACAAATGGATAAGGAAGAAGCAAAACAAACAAAACTTGTCATTTCAAGTTTAGGGATCCTATTAAACTTAAATTCAAAACAGTAAAATATATCACATACTGATACTTTGAGACTAAGTAATCCTTGAGTTGTGACAAATAATGGAGCTATATGTCAGTATTCATCAGAACATAATATCAAGTAGATAATGACCTAGTGTACATTCACAAAGCCAGAATCATAGCTATACTTCACCAAGACAAACTATAGTTCAGTCATCACAATGGCACATGATAGGATGTGAAAGTCCAAGTTTTAAAAACATTCCATGCTGAAAATATTGGGAATTTCATTTGCATGCCTAGTAAATTTCATATTTTTATTATAAATTTAACAAACAACAAATAAAAATTTTAAAAAATGTGTAAAAAAAAAAATAACAACTCTGCACTTTGACTTTACAGCATAGGAATGACCAAGTGCAAAAGAGGAGTAAAGGGCACATCCCCTTCTTTTTCTTTTAACAAATCTAATATTTTTGCAACAGGTTCAAAATGTTTTAAATTGTAACAAAATTTAACAAACATGCTCTCCATTAGCATAAACAATAATGAATGTCATTTCAAAAGTATGCAACGTCTCTAGGATGCACACTACAATGTGCAGTTCAAAATAGTGATCATCTCTATCTAAAAATTTGTAGCTCTACTAGAACCTTATTCTATACCTAGTAGTAATCTTACTCTAGTTTACTTATTAAACTACATGGAGGGGTATGACTGTGACCAACACTTATCATATCATATTGTAAGAACACAATACTGGCTAACATGTGAGCTTATCTTGAGATCTACACAATTGGGTTTGAGGACACTGAGTTGTGAATTTGGGTATCTACAGTGTGTACACTCATTTCTTCTGTATCTTCTTCACTTTCAGACCCTGAAGTGGACCTTGAACTTCCATCTGATCCTGTTCTAGCACCTAGATTCTGATTTTAAATAGGAAAGATTAAATCAATTAGATTAAATTAAATTAATGTGCATATTGATTCAGTAACAGCATGTAGACTTACATTTCGCGACCTCATTGGCAATCTTGGACAACGATCAGGGTTGCTCTCTAAGGTAGATCCTCTACTGGATGGTAGGTTGCTACGGTCAGATGTATTACCTTCATCCGATAAATGATTCAATTGCATGATAAATGGTTTCGCTCTTTGTCTTCGACATCCAGGGGGAATAGGTCTCCGTGCCACACTGAAACAAAAAGACATCTAACAGTGAAACAAATTTCCTTGTTCAAAATTCTGAGGTAAACTTGATGACTTGATGAAACATACCTTCTTCTTCTGAGAGAAAATGTTTGTGTATCACTTTCTCCATCCTGCTCATCATCAGTGAAGCTTTCTTCCAAACCAGAGCTCAGAGGAAGGCCGGTACATGTAGATCGCCTGGAGGAATGTCCTGATCCAGAAGCACAACCTAGGTGTATTGTACTGCGTCCAGAGTCAGCCTCAGTATTTCCATTTTCTGATAAACATGTTGAAACTCTGTTCCCATTCAGAGTTTCACTCACGCGCCTCCTGAGTGACTCAATTTGGTCATCATCACTACAATCTTTAACTGTCAACCGCTCATTGCAATTAACTTCAAGCTCATCCTGTTTGAACATCAAACAGCGGGTTATTAGTTAATTTCATTTAGAATAAAAATAATTATGGAGTTTTTATACAACTATTCAGGGTTCCCACTTACATCTAATGCTTGTTCTGTACTGTGACAACTGTAGCATGAATTTCCATTGAGGCTTTCCTCCGAACTGCCACCAATCTTATCATCATTCATTCTTCTGCTTCTTTGAGAGTGTGATCGAATGGATAATTGCACTGGCCTACCCGGCAACCTTGGCCCACGTTCCTCGTCACTTAGTGAAGATCTTAAGCCACGTTCTAGCGGTGATCTGATGATATCCAGCTCAAATAGAGGATTTACAACTCCACAACTGTTGTTTAAAGCATCGGTACTGGAGTCTGGGCTTCCACAGGATTTTCTGAGATCGCACTGTCTCACAGGAGAGACTGTACAATCAGGGAAGGAAACCCTTGGAATTGGAGCTTGAGGAGAATAAACAGGACTGCTGTCTGATTCACTAATTTCCATAGCCTGGCCAGAGATTGATGGTATTTCAACATTCCCATTAGGAGTTGTTGCAATGTTCTGTTAAAGAATGAAAAACACAACAATTTTAAAAAATCTGAACTACTAACAGCACTTTTATTGCATGAAAGTCACCAAAATGTTTCAAGTATCTACAAATTACCTTTCTTTCTTTAATGGGACTTTGTTGGTTTGAAAGTGATCTACTGTATGAGTTCCGCATTCTTGTTCTAATTCTAGCTTCCCTCTTTGCACCTACAGGAAGACCATTGGTTGCAGCCTTAAAACATTCTGGTTGGGATAAAGAGTTCAGCTGCACACATGTAGGAGCTTTTACAACAGCCTGAAATGATAGTATTACAAAAATATATTAGTACATGTACATAAAAAATATTTGAAATATTTTTTTACAATTTTGTATGTACAATTCTTGTTTTACCTCTTGAACCTCCCAGGATGAATTATAGGGAGGAGCAGCAGGTGAAAATTGAAGACAATTCTCTGGAGATGTGGGGCTATTTTCTTCAGAAGGGAACCTTCTCTGGGAACTTTTGCAAAAGAAGGGGCGTCCATTCCTTTTGTTGCGACCACCTTTATGGGAAGGACAACTTTTTTCACGCCTAGAAAAACGCATAAAAAGATATTGGTACATCATTTAATATGACAGGGAATATTTTTGAAGAAGCTGAAATAGCACTTTAAATAGAAAATAACATACTTTTCAAGTTGTTTTTCTCTTTGTTCTAGCTGTTGCATGTACAAGCTGAGCTGTGTGCAGAGGGAGTTAACACTCTCTAGCTTGCGAGCGTAATGCTGGCGAATGTCTTGAGCATGCCTTAGTTCCTCTTCTCTTTTAGCAATGAGCTCAGTTTCTAGGATTGGACGTTTGTTGTTGGCCGATTTCATAACAGACATATGTTCTCTTACTTCTTCCTTCCATGTGGCCTGTTTCCAAAAAAAAAAAAAAATCAAGTTAATTTTTGTGAGTACAATGTTATGTTAAATGAGCTGCAAATAAAATTAAATTACAAGAAAATTACTCACTTGAGTATTGAAATAATCTTGTGCTGGTGTGCAAAGAACTTCAATAGAGGCGATTTCTAGGTGAAGAAGGATATGTTTGAAGGAGGGCCTATTACGAGGCTTAGCTGCCCAGCATTGCTTGACAAGTAAACGGAATCCACTTGGACAAGTAGCAGGAATTGGAAGATGCAATGATGCACTTCCAACTCCCCAAATTACTGCAGAAGAGTCAACATCTCGGTAGGGAGTTTCACATGTCAGTAATTCCCACAGAACAACACCAAATGACCAAATGTCGACTTTTTCTGAACATGGCTCATTTCTGATAATTTCTGGAGCCATCCATTGGACTGTGCCTGCAAAACTCATCTTGGTACTCTTCTCATTCCATTCCTTACTAGTTCCAAAGTCACTAATCTTCACCACTTCATGTTCGCCAATTAGAACACTGGAATAAGGAGGAAATTAAATATTATATATGTAATAGATCAATAATTTCTTAAAAAATTTAAATGAATAAACAATACTTACTTTGGACTTTTTAGATCTCTGTGGATGATTTTGTGTTGATGTAGGTAATGCATTCCTGAAGCAATTTGCTTAGACCAACTTACAAGTCTAGCTGGAGGTATTCTTTCTCCCTTCTTCAATAGGTCATACAATGGACCATATGGGCAGAACTCCATTATGATGCAATAGCAAGGTGCTTGAGTGCAGACACCCCTGAAAATAAAAATGCATAAGATTATTTAT